CTGAAGGCATTTGCAGAGAAGCAATCACCATGATAAAGGATGGGAAGGAATGATCTTGTAAATATTTTAACTACTGTTGGTCTGTCTCCCAGCACAAGCACGGAGTGAGCCCCGGCAGACTTTGAGCTCTCCCAGGCTGGGAGCGTTCCCTTTTCCAGCACGAATGCCCACTTCTAAGGAAACTTTCCCGCAGGAATGGGCTGCAGAAACCAGGAGGGATGCACCCAAAGCGACCCTGCCTGGCCTCCCACGCTGCCACGCACAGCCACCGCCTCAGCAGGGAGACCCGCTGGTACCTGTTTGCTCCCCAAAATGAGCAGCCTTTTGCACCCCGTGAAAAAGCAATTCAAATGCCATCGTAGCAGCAGCATCTCCAGTTCCCTGCCATGGGGCTGGGGGGTGTGGGGTGGTGGCAGGAGCTGGGATTGATGGCACCTCCAAAAAGAAACCTGAAAGAAAATGGGGTGACGAGAGGAAGGTTACCAAAGGCTGAGCTGCAGGAATGACTCTCAGCAGTGAGACCACTGTAATGTGGAAGGGCTTCCTGGGACATTCGGGGACGTTTAAAAGCAGAATAGGATGAAAGTTGCAACTCACGGGGCGTTCAGAGCAGCTTCCAAAAACATGGTGTGAGGCAGAAAACAGGGGGGTCCTGCTCCATGCCCATGCAGGGCATGGCCATACGAACACGGCAGCCCCTTCTCTCTGGAGAGGTGGCTGCAGGAGACATCACCCGCTCCGCGACGTGCCTATATTCCCCTTTGGAAGCAACAACACCTTTGTAACATGTATAAAGGGGTTACCAACAAACAAGCTTTTCCACCTGGGAAGAGGCCACGCTCGGCCAGCCCAGACAGCGATGTTCAAGCCTGCAATTTGACAAGAGCTCTGCAAACAACCCTGCCTAGAGGATAAACCAAAGCAAGCCAGAAGCTATTAGAGAGTTACAGATCTGGGTAAATCAAGGGATACACTGCGCTGATCTTGACTTTCATCCAGCGCCTGGGTACGGCATGGATTGCTGGAAACCTGCGCAGAGGTCCAGCCCACCCGGCTGGTCTGGCAGCACGCGGCGGCAGCCGGAGCAGCAAACGGGAAGGCTGCGGGAAAACTCGGGGCTTCCCCGGGGGCTCGAACTACAAACTCCCCCTTAGAAATAACTAAGGGAGAGCAGAAAGGCAAAGCTAACTGCAGGTTATGCAGCAGGAACAGCCAGGCAGGGGAGCTGTTTTACACACGCAAACTTGCAGAGCCATCTTTATATATCTTTATTGCATACATCTATCCTTACATATCTCATGGGATGAGGCCAACTTCCCTTCCCAGGACAAAATATTTCTACTTAATTCTGCCAAATCCATCTGTTCCCAAGACAACTTTTGTTACTGCCTAACACAGATATTTTGGAAGGGTAAATCTTCCCCCCTCATCCTCCTACTCCCCCGGTTGCTGGATCGCTCAGAACATTCCCCAGGTGATGCTCCGGCCACTAAAAGGGATTTTTTTCCCTCTCGGCAAAGCTTGCAAGATGCCCAGGGGGACAGCATCCCCACACAGGTGAGCTGGACCACACCACCTTTGCAAACCCCCCGAAAAGCATCCACCTCCTCTCCCCCAGCGCCTGCTAAAGCCACCTGCCTGGCCCAGGAGCCTCTCCAGCACCCATGTTTTATTTTCAAGCTTCCTGGCAATAGGCACATTGGTTATAAGTGGCATCTCGAGTGAGAACGCCGGAGGTGAGCTAATTAGTGGGTGGCTGTCTGGAGCAGCAGCGAAGCGCCAGCCACCCCGGGCTCTGTTTGCTTTGGGTGCCCTAAGTAGGACGACTGATCCCAGTGGTGCGCGAGCGCATGTTTGCATCGTACAGCCTGGAAGACATTTGCACTGACTCATAATTTGGGGGAAAATACTGTAATTTATTCACAGGCATGATTTGCCATTGGTGTGGCATAAATATATGTGTGTCTATGTACACAGCTCTATTTTTAGAGCTGTATGGCTAGGGTGCTGGCTCCACGGTTGCTCCATTGACAAACAGGATGAACTCTTCTCTGAGCTGGGAGGTTTTCAGTCCTCCCCCTTACTGTAAACATTATCTGCCTTCAAAATCCTTAACGTGTTGCAGATGTGACAAACAATAAAAGACCTATCGTAAAAAAAAGCCTGCCATCTCCATGTTTCCCACTGGGGCAACATAATAATGAATTTATTAGCATATAGCGCTCACCAACATATGTTTATAGTCACTCACAAACTTTTGACTTGACAGTTTACAAGTATGTTTAAATCATTAAAGTTTAAGTTGACTGTCCAGTTATTACAGGCTCATTATAAATAGGAAACAAAGGTTACATTTTATACAACAGGCGATAAATCAAAACTAGTCTGTATTCGAGACTGACGGGTTTTTTTTCTCCTTTTGCTCTTTTTCTGTCTCCACGTTTCCAAGACCTTCTGAGGGGACATCTCGGTGAGGCCAGTACTGAGCAGCTGTTTGCAGTTAGCCAGCAGGACCAGCGGCACCCACGCCGGTGAGCAGGAGCAACTCTGACTGCATCCAAGAGATGCAAAGACCTTGGAGGTGGCACGCTCTGCCAACGTTTTCACTCAACTGCTGGCCAAACCCAGTGCCAGCCCGAGGCACCCACCTCTCCTCCTCCTCCCCAAGCCCATCTGCAAGGCTTGGAAACCCTCCGCAAGGGAGGAGATCTCCGCTGCCACCACGGGGCAAAGGAAATTTCCTCCTAAACTGAACAAAGCCTCTAAGAAAAGGAAAGCAAAGCACCCAAACTGTGTCCCCCGACTGCAAACCTCTGAGGGTCGGCAGAGGCACTCAAACATGCTCGAAGGGGGCTTTTGGGTTTGACCACTGTGCTACGACTCAGACCCTCCCAGCCGTCCAGCCACGTTCCTGCCTTAACACTGCAGAGCATCTAGCACGGGATAAAACCAGGGAGTCAGTAACTCAACCCCAGCCGCTCCCAGTCCTGCCTGCCTCTATTACAGGGTAACCACCTTGGGAAGGAGAGAGATAAAGCCACGCTAAATGTAAAAGTTCATTTTGCAAAGTATTTCCAGATTTCAAAGCCTGGCATCATTTCAAATCGGCATGCTAAGCTAAAATTTAGAATTTGTGGAAAGGGGAGGGGGAAATGCGGAATGGCTTCTGGTCCCTTTTATTTCGTGTTATGTACATATGATATGATGGGGAAAAAAATTAATTGAAAAATACCCTTTCAAAGTAAAAAGAAATACCATTCTCAAAAATGTTGAAAGTGAGTATTTCCACACCATCAGCAACTTTTCCTGGGCTTGTTTCCAACATAAAACTTGAACAGAGTCACAGTTTATATCCTATACCAACCAAATAGGATTCTGTCACTGTCAGATCAGCTTTGCCTTTCTGCTCTAAAGCAAAACACAAAAAAAAGAGCATTACGGCATGGGCGAGTGAGGAAGCACCAGAAAGTCTCCCTGGCCACCGCGATGGCACAGCTCGTGTCCTCCGAGGCCAGTCAGTGCCTAAAAGCTGTGCTGGATAAACCTCACGCTCTCAGCAACCTGAAAGACTTAACCTGCCAGGAACACGATGCCCCAAAGCCACTGCTGCTTAAAAGTTAATATTTACCCATCCTGTAGTAAAGGCAGCAGCAAACAACCTCAAGCAGAGTAGCACAGGGAGGACAAGTCATCTTTTCCTACTACATGTGCACACACCGCAGTGACAAGAGAGGTGTAAATTGGTAGACAGGCAAGTTATTGGGGAGATAGATACAGCGATTAAACTAGCCTAGAGAGATAGAAAAAGGATGATATACACTGCTTCAGAGATCACTGATGATATTATGGGGAAGGCTATAACAGGAAATTAGAAACACATTAAAAACAGCACAAAGGTGTGACACAAAGATCACAGAAAATGAAACACGTATCTCTGCTCTCAACTCAGGACGATGTGGATCACCTGTATTCCCTTAATGTACACTTTGATATTTAGTTCTTGGATGAAATAAAGTACATTTTATCCTTCTCAGTTCTCTTTCAGACCTGGATCAGAGGACTTAAAAAGCCTTTTCTTTCCCTTACCCAATATTTGAATATATGTATTTTATGTATTTTACATAATGTGTCAATAATCTTTGATATGAAACTGGCATTTAATATTTCAGCTCTCACTTCATTAAGGATATTTTAATTATCCCAGACCAATGGAAGGGAATTTATAAACATCTGTGCTTTGTTTAAGAGCCCAAATTTGCCTCTTAAACTTCAAAGCTGTAAAGCTGATTTTATCCAGGTTCAGTTGTCTGGTCTCTCGAAGAGCACTGCGCAGCACTGGAACCAGCAGTAATCGGGCCAAGCCTCCAGCCCGCAGACCCACGTCCAGCAGACACCACTCATGCGCGACAGACGTGGCCTCAAACAGCCTACTCTTGCTTGTGCGAGCAAAACATGATGCTGCTGAGCTCCACGGAGCCAGGAGGAAGATGACAGTGGATAGTGGACTGGGGAGAAGGCACACACCAACAGCATGTGTGACTGCCCAAGTCACAAACCAGTCCTTCGCTTTCTCCTCCCGATGGGTGACCACGGACTACCTTATTAATAATGTAGCTTCAAAGCAGTAGGAGTGCCTCATGGCCGTTTGCAAAGCAACCAAAAACAACTCATACTGGCAAGCAATGCAGTTTTAGGCTCCTGAGTACCTAAACCACTTCTGCAAAATGAGCCTGAGTTATTTGTAAAAAATTACCACAGGTCTCTAAACCCTAGATCAGAAATAACCATAATTTGCTGCAGTCAAACGATCTTTACTGACTTTCTGATGTCCTCCAGAAAGCAGAAAAGCTCATCTCTAAGCTCGTAAGCATGGGCAGCAGCAGGAAGGAGAGAAGAGGGTGACTCTGGGACGCGCGGCAGGTTTGGAACCTGTCTCGAATCCTCTCCCATGAGTTGCCCGCAACACACCCCTGCAAAACTGACCTGGAAAAGCAGCGGCATTACTTCTCCAGCTGCTGTCCCTGCTGGCACCAAGGCCAGCCGGCACGATGCTGGGCATCAACAGCCTCTGGGCCATGGCTGTGAAGAGCATCGGTGGCGCCTGCAACAAGTGGACCTGAGCAGCTGCAGAGAGCAGCTCCCTGCACCATCACCAAGACCCACAACCCCCAGAGGGGCAGCTGCTGCAGGACCACTGTCCCCATCACCTGCTAAGAACCGGAGCTGGTTCCTCACTCGCAGCTCTCCATCCCCGGAGCCTCCGCCGCAGTCATCTTCATCATCGCAGTCTCCGCTCTCCTCCTCCTCCTCCGGGGTTTTGCCTGGAGCTTTTCGGTGGGGCAAAGCCATCCCTTTGAGCAGCTGAAAGACATAAGGTACCACAGTCATTCAACAGCTTCCCTCCTACCTCTTCATCCCACGCTCGCAGGGGTATCGGGTGACAAGAGGGGGACAGGGCTCAGTGGAGCCAGGACAGTGGGACAGGACCCCATCGCGCTCCTCACGCCAAAGCACTGACGACCTCATGTTCATTCATGGACAAAGCTGCACACAAAACCTCAATGGAAAAAACAAAAGGAGGAGGAAAAACCACACTGAGTAATTCTGCCCTTCGGCTTCTCCCCGGTGAGCATCGCATGAGCTGGAGCATGTCTGCCAGCCCTGCGAGAGCCCAATGCCACCCAAGCTCAGGAGTCGGCTACAAAACACATGTCCACAGTTAGGCCAGACGGGGCAACAACCAGCAGCAAGAGGAAACCCTGTTCAGGGATTCTCACTGCTTTCAGGGGCTATCTCCCATCTGAGAAGTAACGCGTGTGAAAGGAAACGACACATCTCTCAGGTCCTTATGGCGCCCCACAAAAATAACCCAAAAATCTCCTTCCTCATTCTTGAATTGCAGGGGATGGTAGCTGAAGTTTTTGGGATAGCCAAGCGACACAACAAAAGGATCTTTTAAAGGATGTTTTAAAGCCGAGTCCTAACTAACGGTGACAGGTTGCACATCCCTGAGACAGCAATTCGAATACCTCCACTGAGCACAGGGCCAGGACTGTTTTCCAAACACGGGTGGGAGCTCCCCACACTGCCCCTTCACAGGGCACGGAGGGATTAAACACATTTTAAGCTATCGGCTTCCTCTTCCTGCTGACTTTTCTGATTTTGCTATTGCTGAAAGCAGCCAGCTATTTCATCATAAACCCAGATCCACTTTGAAAAAGTGTGAGTCAGCCAGTTAATATATGCTGAAAATTTCTATCACTACCACTCTGCTGTTAAAAGCCTTCTTGAATTTAATCTCGGCACTAAAAAAAAAAATAATGAAAAGGATAAGAAACAGAGAAGATATTGCAAAATGGGAGCTTTCTGCATACTTTAGGGGTTTAGTTAGTTCCATCTATTGCAGCAATATGCATGCCTTCCAAGGCATTTTTTAATATCTGGAATCTAGGTTATATTTTTAAACTATTAAGCTAGCCTTAGAAAACAGTTTCTAAAATATTTAGCTGCTGAAGTTTATACAGCCTCAGAGGAATGCTTTTGGCATCTGGCTCGCTCCGTCCACGGCAATGTCCACATACCTTAGTGTTTATATTAGAGGAGCATGAAGTAATGAAAAACAAATGGCTTGATGTGAGACCCCTTCGAGTTCCCCGGCTGCATCAAACAACACAGCAAACCTCTCCTTGGCACGTGCAACAGTCCACCTGGAGTGACAGCCCTGCTGGGTCCCACATCCACGGTAGGAAGCAAAACGCAGCTCATCTTCCTGAAACTCGGGAGATGCTTTTCCGTGGCCTTCAACAGGCTTTGGCTCAGACCGGTTAAGTTCCCTCTTCAAGAACTTTATTTTACTTAAACATTTACAGGTCTTTCCCAGAATACCGTGTAACCACAAAACAACAACAAACAAGCAAACAAACAAAAGGCAAATGCAGCGCTGGGGGTAGCATGGGGAAGACCTCACACAGGAACCAAACACACCGACCGCTCAAGCCTTTACACCATCACTTGTATTTCTCTCCTCCAAACGAAGCCCACAGCTAACAGCAGTCCTCAGCACAGAGTATGCTCGAGGTAGAATGAGGGTCTCCCACGCACAGCAGCTCATTACCACACACACCAGTTCGAACCCATTGCCCCAGTGCACCATTGCTAAAAAACTAAGCCCATCATGGTGGAAGGGGACCGCAACCGCTCAGCGGCAGGATGGTCACTGCTCTGCAGGATGCTCTGCAGGATGCTCACTCCTCCACATCCAAGGCATGGAGCAAGCCAGCCGGGACCCCACCGCGCAGCTCAGCGACACAACTTTCATTACTTACCCGAAACAGCAGAGGAACTTTCTGGCGGAGAGAATTAAGCTTTGGGATATTTTCAGACTTAATAAGCTCAGCGGGGGGTTGGGGAAAAATCAGGATTTTTCAATTGTGTGTTTTCAAACATTAAAATTACTGAGCATTTCTTGTATTACTACTTTTTTCTTGGCACGTCATAAATTAGCAACTTAATTTCTTTGCCTTCCTAGTCACAATAAAACAGGAACTTTCTGAGAAATGCCATGTGGGCCCTGACTTTGGATCGAGCGAACGTGACATCCCTGTGCCACGCTGCTCCTTCCTTTCCCAGGACAAAAGCTCCATCCTCGGCCACGCACTCCCCAGCTGCTGAGAGAACCATGGGGGAGGTTCAGTGAGTCAAATTGTGCAGCTGGCTCTGGGAGAAACGAAGCCTGTGACACAAAACCCACTGGCACCGTTAGCAGGAGACCTGGCACAGGGTGGAAATCCTACCCCGCTCCATTGGTGCATCCAGACCCGGGAACGCTGTCAGATACCTCGGCTTTGGCCAGAGCAGCAGCCACAGTCCCGCTCATCAACCATTACACAACCTCCCCGATGGTCTGCACGCTTTATGAAATTATATTTGGTGGACTGAACATAGATTCTCCATCCTTAAATAGCAAGCGGAGCTGACTGTACCCTAACATTACAGTTTATTCGTGCCCTGTGGTTTAAAGCCTATGGTAAGAGGCAGGAAAATACATAGTCTGGCGATCGCTAAAGTAGTATGTAACAGAGAGATAGCTTTAACTTAATCATAATTCATCCAGCTGTAAGAGTTTACAGTCGTATCTACTCTTCTGTGCTAAACCATAATGGCAAAAATACACTATAATGTACCCGATGTAAACAAGAGCACTAATTGCGGGAGTCTGTGCGCACGCACGCATCTCTGAGGTGTCTGCAGGGCATTCGTCTCCCATCTGCACAACCACCATGGCAAGAAACACGTGGGCCACAGCCTTTACTCCTGACTACAAGCTCCACCGGCTCAGACGTACATCAGTTTTATTTCCAATCTCATCCCTTTTAAATCGTGACCCTCCGGACGGGTAGGGCAGGCAGCGCTGCGGTACCTCCACCGCTATGTCAGCTGCCGGATCATCGGCACGAGGGACACAAGGCAGCTCCGGCTGGTCTCCATATACATCTTTGTTACTTGGCTTGTCCTGTGGTCTCCCTACAGCTTAAAAAACAAGCCAGATGGGAACGGTGTGCCGAGCCTTTCTGCAAGGAAAGCTCCCCAGGGCATCCCAGCATGATTTACACAATTATTCATAACCATACAGTGACCAGACAAAAACAGATGCAGCAACGCGGGGTAATGACTCAGCTGGATTTGGACGGGCCACCGTATGTTGAAATCTTTATAACTCCTCATTCTTTACAACCACTTTGCTCAGAGCTCACCATCCCACCAGCCCACTGAGCCACCTGGTCTTGTTTTTCCAATTTTAACATAAACAGTGAGAGCTACAACATACTTTTTATCATTAATCTCCCGTCTCCAAAAAGAAATCAACATTGTGTTCCTTGGACTGTAGTTTAATAGCTGTTTTCTCCTTTTGGAAACTACGCCCGCGGTATTGCAAATATCAATTTGAGCAATACCCAAAATTGTGCCCACAAATTCAGATAAAATATCGGCAGTGAGCTACAAGCACTGTGCTCCTTTAGGGCAGAAATCATCCCTTTCAACATACTTCAAAAATATGTAAAGTAAAAAAAACAGCCAAACAGATTATTAAGGGGAATAGAAGACTTTTAGAAAAACATTTAATTCCTTCATAAGTTTAGGGGAGAAGTCTGATTGATATTTGTAATCTTTTGGTGGACAGAGCTGTCATCTAATTTAGCCTGCATGACTGAAAGAATTTAATAAAAGTGTTCCATAGAGTTTTGCTGAAATTCTTTGCATGTTTTTAGTAAGCCTCTGGAATACGATCAAACCTAAAAAGCTGGAGAGGACGGAGACTGAACTTGCAGCTAAAATAATATTCAGGATTGTAATATATGTTTAATAATCGAGTATTCGCATCCAGCAGAAAAAGTGCCTTAGTGCAGAAACTCCTCTGGATCCCCAGCCACGTGTCCAGGTGCTGCTTGGCATCATGTAGGGGACCCTGAGAACTGGGCCCAGCAGCGAAAACCAGCCCCTGCTGGTTTCTGCTAGAAACCTTTCAAAACTCAACCAAACTCACCAGCTCGGGCCTGTCCGCAAAACTTGGGCTGCCTTCCTTCGGTGAGAGAGAGTTTTGGAGGAGCAAAGGTGTTATTTCCCCTGGCATCGCACAAGCCGCCCGCTCCGGCCACACACTTTCAGGTACCCGACACAGATGCCGCTGTACTTCCCACACAACTCCCGAGATTCCCGACAGGTCGGGTTTCTTTATTTTAAATTCCAGCCTGCTGAAAACATTGGGTTTGGGGGGAGAAAAACTAGATCTTGTGGCCAATCCTGACCTTGAAATCTGCAGTGCTGAATAATTTATGGGTGGCTTTTAAATCGGGGCAGCATCATGGGAAACGTGCAGATTTTCACACGATACTGTTCCCTGTTAACAGCTCATTACGATGTACAGAAGTATATTCCCATTATGAAATACAGCTGGGGTTGTTTTGCTTATGAAGGTCATTATCTGATCACAAGCAAGAATCGTGGAAAGGAACCCATTTTAAAAGGCTGAAGTTGTGGACTTTTTGAAAACTCATGTGTTTTGAATTTTGTGGCCTGATCATACACAAGCATGCAACAGGAGAATTGATTCTCTCCACTTCCTCTGCTTATTAGCCCTGGAAATAGCATGGAAAAAATTATCTTTTATTAGCAAATACTTTCTTTATTTTTTAATCAACCCTCATCGTGAGATTCACTGGTGCCCTCCACTCCACCTTCCTATTTCGCAGCTCCGTTGGGTTTATCCTTTCTGTGGACAGGGGCCTTGGTGGCAGAGGAGTGTGCGCAAGCAGAAACTCAAGGCAACATCAACAGCATCATTTTTACTTACCTCTTTCCAA